AGTAGATTGAAAGTGGTGGGAACCTCTAGGATGTGAAAGTCAATTTCATGCTGCCCTGGCCCAACCTTGGTCTGGATCTTCACTGTTCCCATGACTTCTCGGCTTGTATTGTCGTATGCCCGAATCACCTGGGCTGTTGGTACGAAGTCTGCAGTTTTCAAGCCAATTGCATAGGCAGTCCTTGCTGGACATACATTGATGGCGGAGCCTGTGTCAACAAGTACCACGGGTATCCACTTGTTTCTGCATTCCACGGAGATATAGGGTGGCTTGTTGTGGTTTGCACCCTCAGGTGGCAGTTCTTTGTCAGAAAAGGTCAACATCGGGGTAGCTCCTCCCGGAAAAACTAAGCCTACTAGTTGTTCTGGCGTAGTTTTTATCGAAAGCTTTGCCTTGTCCATGGCTGATAGGACAGCCTGTCTGCGCACTCGTGATGCCATAAGCAGTCCCCAGATGGAGATGTCTGCTTGTATCTTTTTTAACTGTTTTAGTACAGCCTCCTCTTCGACTTGCTTCTCTTTTTGTCTCTCAGCTTCCTTATCTTTCCCAGATGTCTCTGGTTGGTCTAGGTGCGGGGGCTTGAAATACCGTCCGCTTCTCGTCATGTGGTCGACTTCTCCAAGGTACCAAGTGTTATCGGGTTGGTTGTTCCCCCAATCTTCGTCTGTATGGGCAAGACATAAATCCTCATCTTCCCACCACATTCCATCAGCAGCCGACAGACACCTGTCCGGCTCTGGTATGACTGTTCTCGTACTCGCGGTACCTTTCACCCCTATGCTCGCAGCATTCTCTGTGCCTGCACACACAGCAATTTCAGTCCCTACATGGGCCTTTGCCTTTCTGATTCTCGCGGGATCTTCAAATCTTTCTTGTTCCGACCGTATCAACACAGCTGGCTGCTCAATAATTCCTGCATTCAGAATGCTCCAATCTCTAGTGGAATTCTTAACACCGGCGCTCTCCGGCGATGTATTCTGTTCTCTGACTCTTTCGACTATAACCGACATTCGTGCCCCTGTCGGACTCTGTCCTGGTTGGAACTCTTCCACTACATCTGGTTGATCATCTAACCACCCAGTGGCCTCTGCTGATTCCTCATAGTCAAACTAGTTGATTGCTGTGCCCTCTGGATCTTGGTCACTGTAAAACTGGAGATTGGCAAGGTCCTCCTCCACAGCCCTTAAATCATCTGTTCCCTGTCCCAGACTATCCCCTTGGATCACACACAGTTCTCCTCCTGTTGGTAATTCCACATCTGGCCCATCCTGGCCTATTGAGGAAATGTAGTCACCTGGGCTATATGTCTTCTCAACACGACTCCCAGATTCTGCAGACTCTGACTCAACAACCTTCTTCTCCTTGGGGATCTCCTCTCTCTTGTTCTCGATAGTCACCACCGTTGGCTCAGGTTGGGTCATGGAGATGTCTATCATGCACAAGTCGGTGCAATCGGGAAGGAGTACCTCTGGTTTAGGCAGGTGGGAAGGAGTGATATAGATGCTAGGATCGTAAAGCACAACCCCAGTTTGGATGAAGTTGATCTTTTTGAGCGGTGGAGCTTGGTTATGTGTGGGGAGAGGGTTTGTTGTAACATTGGGTTTCTCGGGAGGCAAAATCACCCCATTATCAATGAGATCTTGGATCTCATGACGTAGCCGGAAGCACAGATCGGTGTCATGACCGTGCTGTTGGTGAAATGTGCAATATTTGGCTGGGTTGTGGGTAGGGGGAAGTCTTTCTGGTAAGGGCCGCGGTTCTAGGGGCTTCAAATGCCCTTTTCTGATTAGAATCCCCAGAGCTTTGGATAAGGGCATATACAGTGGAGCGAAGGTTCTTGTGTTTTTGGGTGGGTATTTAGCCGTTTGGGTATGGCTTTCGGACGCGCCGGAGAATGGCGCAGCTGCCATGGTTCTTGGAGGGGGGTGGTGGTGACCATGCTCACTTCGGAGGCTCTTGTAGTTGTAGTTCCGCTCGGGCCTGCATTAGTGTTGCGGTTGAAAGTTCTTCGGGGTTGCTCCCGGTCATTATCAATTAAACCTTGCTTTAAGGCATCCTCAATCTGCACCCCCATTTCATGTAGATCAGAAAAGGTAGGGAAGGGGAGTACAATCATCTTTTGCATTAACTTCGGCTGAAGATTGCACACAATCATCCGAATCTGGTCTTTGTCTGTAGGCCTTAGGGTCATCATCGAAACCTTGGCCCTCTATCTAGTCACGAATTCTGAGAAGCTCTCTTTAGGCTCTTGCCTCGTTGTCTCGAGATCACGAGCTGTAATCTCGATTTGTGTATTGTATGAGTACTGTGTAATGAAGGCCTCGGCCATCTCGTCCCAGTTTCTCTTGACATCATCTTCTAATTTGGCATACCATATGGCCGCCACACCCGACAGGGTTCGGCCGAACAGAGACAGCTTCTGAAATCTGCTGAGGTCCATTGGCCTTAAGATGTCTGAAAACAATCTCAGGTGCACCATGGGGTCCTCGGACCCATCAAATCGATCGATGTGCGGTATTTTGAATCTATCAGGCAACGTCACAGCTGCGTCGGTATATCCATCTTCGATGTCGGGGATGGTCTTGACTCCTTGGGATCTCTTGAACAGCTTTTCGAGCTTGCTCAATTTTAATGTTGTGGGATCGGTCTCGAACTCAAAGGGAGAGTCCGGTAGGTTGGTGGGTGTTTTGGATAACTGGGGTTGGATTTGGGGTAGGATCGGGGGTGGAGGTGGTCCCGTAGGAATGTCCGTATCATTTTGAACATTGGCTGTCTCCCCAGGGGTGGGAATTCCTAGCAGGGGAGGAACTTGTTGCGAAGCAAATGCTCCGATTTGCTGTTGTAACCTTACGATTAACTCTGCTTGTTCATTCATAATTGTGGCTTGCTGCTTGGCGAACTCTGCCTGTCGGACAGCATCCTGCTGCATCATTTTCATACTCTCTTGGAGCTGGTGCACCATCTCCTCTAAATTGGCCATACTGTTTTACTCTAACTGAATTATCGGTATATGTTCCCTTTCTGTGGGAGAAGCAGAATCCTGATCCCTACCGTACACAGGTGGGGTAGATAAAGCCCTCTGTACTGACTGTTGAACTGATGCCCTCTGCCTAGCTGTCCTCCGTCTAGTAACCGGGGGTAGAGAGTGGTACACTGGTTGTCCGTCTACCAGATCCTCAGATCGATGGAGCCGACGACCTCTAATCCAGAGTGCTTGGAGAATATCTACTGGGTCAAAAGCAATTGTGCTCGACTACCTAGTAAAAAGATAAATAAAGCAAATAAATAAACGGGCAGTTGGACAGCGTAACAACGTAAGATAAACACAACACGCAGTTGGATATCACTACAAATTGCTCACAAGTTGAATGTACTGTTCCTTAATCACTGATCACCGTTTCCAAATCGCTGTCCCAAAGCCTAAATCTGATACCCATGGATGACCGATTCCCAAAAAATACTGATGCCCGCAGGCCTGACACTCAGACTTGCGAACTGATATGTGTGTTCCCCTGCATAGATACTCTCTAAAAACACATAGCAAGTAAAGAGAGCCAAAACACCCCTATGGAGGGGTAGGGTTTCCCTATCCTATTTTTGTCAGGAGCTAGGGTTTCACTATGCACGCAGCAGTTTCCAAACAACCTAATATCGGGTAAGCAACCTGTCCTAATTTGGAATGGTCACTATGGATTTCGATATGCACTAGGCCGAATGGTCGAAAAGGGTGCCCCGGTAAAACCGGGGTTTGTGTTCCCATACTGTCAAAGCCCACAACCGGTCAGTCTTATGGCATGCTTTGACAAAGTCAAGCCTCCGGCAAACCGTTCAGGAATGGCAGATGGCAAACATGGTGTCCTAGGCGCACCAATGCACATGCAATGCAAAGAGACACATAAATGAAATCAAAACAGGATATCACAAGTTCGAGTCAAGCTCTCTAACTCCCCAGCAGAGTCACCAGAAACTGTAGACGTGCCCGCGTGAGGCCTTCGTGCTACAGTTCGGATTCAATTTGTGTCACGGTTCTTAATCTGAACCAAAGAGTCCAAATTCGGCAAATCGTTTTGGAAAACAGATTTTTAGAAAAGAAGTGCCAAACGTGGACTGCTTTGCCAGATACAGAGTCGCCACCTAAATATTTTTTATGGGGGAATTTAGGAAACCCTGACTCGGTGCTAAAGGCCACGTGTCCGTCATCACCAAAGTTGCCTCGGCTCGGGAGCTTGGATACGATTGGGGAAGGTCAGCTATGAGCACCCCCTCTCGCCCGATCCGAAGATCGGCCTCTACTAACCGTGATATCCATTTTTGAAAACGTTATGTGTTCTTATTCCGGTTATTAGCCTAGAATTACTATATTATGCGCACAGCAAACAAGTATAGACCAAATTGCCTAAATTGGAACAAAACATTTTATGCTTGTTTTGAAAATGGTTTGCTACTCGCAAGTAGGCTGAAATGTAGGTTTTGCCACCCTCAAGTGGGCTTTAGAAAAGATGGTTTTGCCACTATCTAGTGGGCTTAAAACTCACAGTTTTAATGCATTTTTCCAATTTAGGTAATTCAACCTCCATCCACAGGCATTCAAGCAGTTATATCACATAAGCAGCTAGCCTCATGGTAATCATGCTGTTATGGCGACACTCACACGCATGTGGTATGCTAAAGCATAAATGCTTACCGAGTACTCCGAGCCAAAACAAAAATTAGTTAGTAATCATGTGCATGATCCTAGTTCATGTTAAGATGGCTAATGCAACACATCCAAAATGCAACTAAGATAGGCTCGGCTAATCTACAATGACATGTGAAATGCTACAACTTACACGTATTCAATTTGGAATTGAAATACAAATGCAGTTAGAATGATGCGCCGAGCCCGGTGTATGCAAGACAAATGTATGAATGTACGCATGCATAGCATAAGGTATGTTAATTTAAATATGCCCTAGTCTACCATCATAAGCGGGTAAATAAAAGGGAAGAAAGACGTGGGGTTGGAAGACATACACACACTCACGCACACTTATTACAACATTGCCCTCGCGCAGAAGGTTCAAATAAATATTACAGTCCGAATAAATAATACTAAATTAATTATTACAGAATTTCTAATTAATTAACAAATTAAACGCAGAATTAAAGTGGCCACAGCCCCCGCCTCGAAATACGTGGACGATGCATACTTGACTCATTTTGCCCAAAAATTCGTACCATGCTAATGTTGCCTCTGTTTACACTGCCTTGCTCCTCCGAAAATTGTGCAACTCCCAAGGTGCACTCTCTGGACACTGGGGAGCATCACCAACCAAGTGGAATTTTCACCGGCCATGTCCGGATGGTTATCGGCCATTTTTTGATCCATCGGCAAATAATAAATAGCCGGTCGGCAGTATAGGTGGCTGGCCGGCCAAATATTCCTGCAGAACCTGTTTTTGATAACAGCAGAGGGCAGACAGTGCATGGCAAGGAAATTCAAACAAATGTGAGCATGGACACACTCCCTATCATGCAATGGACTCAAGGGAGCATGGCCCTCGACCCTCGGGCCATCAATCCCGCATTTCAATGCATGATGGCCCAAAATCCAAGTGTGCAACTTCGATATCAAATGAAATGTGAGCACAAAATACATCAAAGGGCCCCAACCCCTATCATGGTTGATCAAGAGGCAAGGGATGCATGCTCAATGAAATGCAACCTAGGCATGGAGGCTAAGTATGCAACATGAACATGCAAATGAGCAATGTATACTAGGCACGCAACCTAAACATGTAAGCTAACATGGCATGCAACAACATGCGATGATGGAATTAAACTAAGATGGATAGCTCACAAGCATGCCAAAATCAGTGGCCATGTGATGAAAATGAGGCAACCAAGATGCGTGCAAACATGCACAATGCAATGGCCCCGATTCTAAGGCACAAAACACAACTCCACAAAGGCATTGAAAGGATGAATTATGGCATACAATGGCATATGTTCCAGCACTGAAGTATGATGCTAAACAGCCCCGAAACATGGAAAAATGGCACCCGATGCATGAGATGAAACTCGCAACTCGAAACTAGGCACACGGAATGACTTACAGCTATACAAAGCATGCATTATTTGATCATGAGGCATGAAGAAATATGCAAGACCGTCCCAAAACATGCATATTTCCAGTTTATAACAAGTCTAAAAAATAAAC